TATATATATATATATATATATATATATATATACTGAACATTCAGTGTCCAGTGAAAAATTCCTAACATTTAAAAAGTCCACTATGAAGGACCTTTTGTGGAATGGAAAGATTCCATGGATGTTCTTCATGAAACCATAGATGCCAATGAGGAACCTTTAATTTTAAGAGCTTCTTAGAAAACATATATGTTGTTAAAATTCTATACAAAGAAAACTGACTTGACATGACTTGATGTTATTCTGAATGATGTATGCTACTGATAAAAATGATTATGCATTGCGAAATGAAAACAGACCTCCTGTGTGCAACAATAATACAGAACCCTCTAGTGGACACATGAAGATCTGCAGCAAGTGTGCGACGCGTCACCAAGTTCTCAGAGCTGGAGGAGGAGACCTGGAGCACTGGGGTCCACATTGAGTCTCTGTAATCCAGTTTGGAGTGGTCGCTGAGGATGCCACCAGAAGTAGCCTCTCCATAAGACCTGCAGTGCATCGACACTTTGGTTGTATTGACTTGGGAGCTTATTAGTTGCTTAATAGTTTATTCTACCTCAAAAAATAGTTTAAAAACAGTTGAAATTATAGTTCAGGTTATGCCACCACAGACAAATGTAGGTGTAACGAGATGTTTTAAAGGAAACATTTTATAAATAGACTACATCTCACAAAGTAACGGATCCATCTGAAGAATCTGGACACCTTCCAAGAGTGATGATGAAGATAAAACTCACCTTTTATTTATTGTATTTATTTATTTAGTCATTTAGCAGACGCTTTATCCAAAGCGACTTACAAATTCACCTTGAACCGACCAGTCAACACCTTCGGACCAAAGCAGTAAAAGTCGTCTTTATGGAGTTTCAAAATGACATTTTCTAAACTGCTGAACGAGAGCAAGGATGAATTCCCCTCGGACTTTCTCTCCAACATCAGCAACACCACCTGTGAGAGCATCACCCTCGATTCTCAAGTCATCGGTGTCGGAATCTTTCTGGCCGTTTTCATTTTGGTGGCGATCGTCGGAAACATTTTGGTTATTCTCTCGGTGCTGTGCAACAAACATTTGCAAACGGTCACCAACTTCTTCATTGTGAACCTGGCCATCGCGGACCTTCTGCTTAGTATCATCGTCCTGCCGTTTTCCGCGTCTCTGGAGGTGTTGGGATGCTGGGTGTTCGGTCGGGTCTTCTGCAACATCTGGGCAGCGGTGGATGTGCTCTGTTGCACGGCGTCTATTTTAAGTTTGTGCATTATATCTATAGACAGGTACATCGGAGTTAAACACTGTCTGAAATACCCCACTATCATGACTGAACGGAAAGCAGGTGTCATACTCGTATTGCTCTGGGTTTCTTCAATGGTGATTTCAATCGGACCGCTTTTGGGGTGGAAAGAGCCCCCACCTTCTGATGAGAGCATCTGCAGCATCACGGAGGAACCGGGTTATGCTCTGTTCTCCTCTTTATTCTCCTTCTACCTCCCGCTCATGGTGATTTTAGTCATGTACACGAGAGTATACATCGTGGCCCGCAGGACTACAAAAAGTTTGGAAGCGGGTGTGAAACGGGAGAGAGATAAATCAATGGAAGTGGTGCTGAGGATACATTGCAGGAGCATACCGGAGACCAAAAATCACCCGTTCCGAAGTTCACTGTCCGTGAGACTCATGAAGTTCTCTAGGGAGAAGAAAGCTGCTAAAACCCTCGCCATCGTCGTGGGGATGTTCATTCTTTGCTGGCTGCCGTTTTTCTTCGTTTTGCCTTTGGGTACGTATGAGTTATTCTCTGTCTGGTGTGAGTTTTTGAACGATACCTAATCTTCAAGAAAAAATAAAAACTGAACTTGATGCTTTACATTTAAAAAATGAAATCAAAGTAAACTAAGTCACATTTCACTTTTTGGTCTCTCAAAACACATAAAACCGAATTGAAATCACAGAATTGTGACAAAGTAAATGGGTGTACACAGTGGGCTACTAGTGGAATTTATATTAAAATGTTCACTTATCATAATGGAATTAAATGAATCCTCTAATTATCAAATAAGATCTTACTGGATCAAATGAAATGTCAATATTATTATTATTATTATTATTTTATTGGACTATGGGAGAATCAGGGTATCTTCCGTCCAATTAATTTTTGTTTTAATATTGAAATCTAAAAAATGAAAAACGGGCACATATTTCGTTTTTCAATTATTCAAACAAAACGAAAAATCAAGAATCCGGCTTAATTTTTCGTTTTTACATTCAGGGATAGAAAACGAATAAACAACTTGAATATTCGATCTCTACATGTGGGCGGGAATGAAACGCCCCTCTCTGCTAATTGGTCAACCAAACATTACAACATAATAATAGTCCTAAAAAAACCTTAATAATAGTCCTCCGCTTCTATTGATTCTTAACATGTTTATTTCTACTACATTTTATCTCTTCATCAGCTATGGGAGTTTTCCCACTTTGTCCTGCTAGGAAAAATGTGTTCTTAACTTGTTTTGTATTATGTTGTTCCGGTATGAAACAATTCTCATTAAGTCAAGTCAAGTCAAGTCAAGTCTGCTTTATTGTCAATTCTTCGTACAGCACATACACACAGAGAATTGAAATTGCGTTACTCTCAGACCCTTGGTGCATACAGATAACACTAACAGTAGAACATAAATACAGATAGATACAGATTAAATATAAAATACAACTATACAAATATACAAATAAGGTCAAATGTAAAAAATATATATATAAAGCAGCACAAGGCACATGGCAGATAGAGTGCAAACCAGTGAAGTAAACAACAGTGCAGATATAATGATTGTAGTGCAAAAGAGCTTATTCAGACTGATTAAAGTGACAGTGTGTGTGTGTGTATTTGGGAGGGGGGAGTGGGAGATTCCATCAGAGGGTCAGAGTTCAGTGGTGTGCGGGGCAAAAGAGGGGAGGGGGGGCAAGGTCAGGAGGGAGTTCCCGATTAAGAAACAGGATTGGTTCCAAATTCTGATAAAAAAATAAAAAATTTTGACAATTTTTATAAATTTTTGACTATGATAAAACAAATTAATTATTTTTTTTTGTTAACTATATCGTTCGTACTCGTAAAAAAGCTAGAATTTAAAAGAACGAAAAAGCACTTTAACAAATAATTTTGCAACTGACGTGACACAGGAGTTGATTATTTTTACAGTATAATCAGTTTTATTCCTTAAGATGCATAGATGCATATAAAATACACATTTATTTCGACACTGTGTTAATGTTTTACTCCGTGGTTAGGCGAAACAGAAATGTGCAAAATGTGTAACCTGATATAAAGCACGAGAGCTGTAATGTCATCATGACTTTTCTCACTGACGAAAGCAGTTCCACGCGTCGCTTTTCTATTACATTGACAGTTCATTCGATTAAATTAGATGGCAAATGTGTGCACATGGTATGAATGGGGTTTTGAGCAAGATTTGACAGCAGATCCACCTCGAAGTATTTGAGGGGAGATTATATGAGTTACACTTGATATTAACGCTATTGGTCTTTGTTTTGGAGAACACTGTGCTCTTTAGGATTTAAATAAATAATAGTGCATGTTGGAGTGCAAGAACAAATGCAAAATCAGCCAAATACAACCCAATACATGATAATATGCCTATGTACTAAACCAAATAACCAAAACAGATTTGTGCAATTACTGACTCCAAAACGTTGACTGATTGATAAATAAATAAATAAAGACCAGCTAGGCATTCTGCTTATATATGGTTAGAAAGCATTAAGACAAAACTTATAAAATACAATATCAATTTAAATGTGGGATGAAATAAAGCCTCTCTACTCCTAACAAAGAGCTCCATTCTTTATGCCACAATATGTTGAAAAAGAGCTATTGTTTGATTAATTACCTTTATTAAAATGTTGCCTTCATCTGTGACCACCGTGATGTAGCTCCACATAACAAAAGTTCACACACTGACCTGTATGTTGTCATAATAATGAAGGCAGAAGTGAAAGACTTGTGAGAGAGACTTATGAGCAATTTTCCTCTTTCTATAAAGCCAATGGCACGAAGAGTTCATTAGAACATGCTTTGTTTCCTCACGAATCATGCAATCACTTCTCCTCACATTTTCCAATAGCTTATAGCAGTTTCTTTGTAACAGTACATCGTATCTCACAATATCCCCTCCCCCTTCTATCAGAAATCAAAAGGATCCCATGTCCTTAAGTAGCCAAGAATGAGTTGCAGCTCATTTAGTTATATTACACATGATTGTATTATATTAACACACTAAACACAATAATCAAATGATTAAACAAAAAAATCAGTAATTGCAAACGGTTCAAACATTTTTCTATAAAGCACTGGCAGTCCGCAGACATGTATCAAAATCTTCCTGTCATCAAACCCCTTGAACATGCATTCTGTTGGCCCACGCAATTATAAAGTTCATAACTATAACTGTATAAAGCAGGGTTAATAACTATAATTATTCCTGCATAGGAAAAAAAATGATTTTGGGATTTTCATAATGCAGAGATGATTAATTGTCATCTGTTTGCTCAATCAAAGATCACCCATGGGAGTCTGAAGCATAGACATTAAATGCAGTGTTCCAGTCACTCAACCATTACCCAAGATTATGTCACAGAGGCCCAAAATGTGCTAGAACTGGAAAAAAACTGTCTCTTATTACATTAAAAGAATTTTGGTCTTGCTGACATCATTGTCTGAGGCATGAAATGGGTACATTTTAAGTAGCAAACAAATAACAACAATTACCATTTTGACTATTATTAGCCATTTATAATTAAAATATACATTAAAAAGAATAAAAATACATGGCTGGCATTGTACATTCCCCACAATGTATTGGTTTCCCCCCAAACCCACCATCCCATCCATCTCCAGGGTATTCCAAGAGTGTGGTTTTTGCCTGTCCCTGCTGGTATTCCACTCACAGTCACTGTGGGGAAAAATAGGGCAGCAGTGGTTGATAACACTATTAACAGCTATTAACGAGTTAAAGAGGATGCTTTCATTTTCCAAAGCCTCAGCAATAGCCAGCCACCAGGACAGAGGAGGGATATGGCATGGCTCCACACGTACACTGCAGAAGCACAAACTGTGAGGCACTGTTATAATGACAGAAATGAGGGATTGGCTGATGTTAAACCTTGCTTCAATGTGAAGGCATTTGGAAATCTGGGGGGAAATTCTTAAGTTACATCTGGTAACTAAAAAAAAGAAAGAAAGAAAAGAAAAAGTGCTATTTTGATTTATTTAAACTGCTAAAATGCTTGATTTTTGATTGGTCATTCAGTGGCCTCCCCCATTGCCCATGGTAACACAGTACACTCTTCAAAATGCTGGGTTGTTTCAACCAAATTCTGAGTCAAATATGGACTAATCCAGCTGTTGGGTTAAATTTTTTAATACAATTTTTAACCCAAAAGTTGGGTTAGTCCATATTTGACCCAAAGTTGGGTTGAAACAACCCAGCATTTTTAAGAGTGTATAATTGTCCACTCATCCAGGTAACTACAACCAGCGCTACTTTCAAATTTCTCATTGTGGATTCGCTTTGTCTTGTTTCATACAAATGCAATTGTCTCAATTGTCGTTGTGGTACTTATTACAGGTAGGATTATGGGTTAATTTAAACTCAATTCAGTGTTTCATGTCCACATATTTTTGTGAGTAACTATGCAATAAGCGAGCGAAGTACAATCAGCCAGTCATCACTATAAAATTAACCACTTCATGGTGATACAAGAACCCTCTAATCCTCTTATATAATTGTAATTTTTGTGGTACAATTTTTTAAAATGACAAGTCTACCCTCTAAATGATGGTCACATGTTTGGCATCAACATGCCCACCGTGTTATTGTTTTCCTTATGGTGTTTTTGTGCTGGACAGTGAACGTCTTATTTCTGGTGACAAACAGAACAAAATGTTTCTGCTCTCCTAAAGAAAACTACAAATTACTTTAATGAAATTACATGACAGTTAACTACATTGCCAGGTTTATACATTTTTATATGTAATAATTGTAAATAGTGTAATTATATTATAGTGGTTTTAGACTATGTCTGCATGATTAATCCAAGTGCAACAAGTCCAGAGAATATAGAGAATGAGCCTTTTTTATGTGTCTGTATTTATGTTTGTGATGTATTGAATGTCCATGATGTGAATGAATTTTCTGCCAATGTAAAATTCTGCAACATTATGAATTTGCATTTTTATTATTTCGTCATTATGTTTCCCAAATACCATCTTTTTAGACTAAAGTGATCGATTTGCGAATGTAAGAGTTGCAAGAAATTTTTAATAGTGGCTTTGATTTAAATTTAAGCAGCAAAATGAGTTGGTAATCTGATACATTTCCGTAAAAAAAAAAAAAGCCTGCCTGTCAAAATTATCTTGAACTTTTCTGACCCAAGCTGTTATGTTGGCCTTTAATACATTTACATCAAACTGACACAGAATGCAGCTTGACAGAACCTTACACATGTAGCCAAACCACAGACCATGGTAAAATAGGTATTGGGGTGATCACTATTAGATGAGACAACTTTAACATGTGGCTACCTGCCAAAACACTCCTATAGCTCAAGTAGCCCGTGCCAGGCAAATTTGCTAGAAAGCAAAGACCGCCAGCATGCATTTAAGACTCTCAGCTTACAGGTGTAAATAAATTGCCTACCTGACTGCTCCATCACTTGTGAAATGTTTTTCACACTAGGAAAAAAAGGTTATTTTAAGAACTGTTCCCTGAAAGGTTTTTTGAGGAACCCAGAATAGTTCTTATATGGCATTATTGTGATAACCACCTTTTGGATCCTTTATTTTTTAAGAGTGTAAAGCAGAACAAGAATGTTGAGAAAGCCACATTGGATATAAGTGCCAACTGAACCTACTTGCTTAACTTAATAATTAGGCCGACACAGTGAGTTCACATGCAAAATTTAGAAATTTCTACACTTCCCATGCCCTTTTGTTTAATCATTTTAAAAATATTTTGTCTTACTGATTATGCTTTCAGCTACCACTAAATGTCTACTTCTAGTTTGGCTTGCTTTTCTAAATCCTTTCAGCAGAATTCCTCTCAAGTTCCCCTAAAATCTAAACAGCAAATCTGAAAAAGTCAGAAGACCCTTTTTTTCTACAGTGTAAGTACACGGATTGGTTCCAGATTGCCCCAGAGTAAAGGCTGCCACATTGTACATGATGCTCTGGCTAAAAGGACATTTTTTTTCAGTAGCTAGCAAAGATCCTGCTTGGTGTGTCTCATAATCACAACAATTACCATAAAGGAGCTTTCCTGGGACTGGCTTTCATCTCAGAGCCACAATTGCAACCAATTGACGACCTCTAGCCAAGAGGGAGAACAGCATTTATTTTTGTTCATCAAAATCTGTTTCAACAAGACCGCGCCATTCCCAGTCCATTCTTACTACCTATTCCCTCTGGTGCTATTTTTATACAGGGAGGTATACAGAGCTGACAGGGAGGTATTCTGACCTCTCGTGACACTGAAATGCATGGCATGGGCGACGACAACTGTTTTATGTGTGAGATAATGCAGCGCTAGCCTCCTCTCACTTCCTGTGAGGAAGGAACAAGGCAAGGAGGAGATATTGGCAACATATGTGGTGTCTGTCGAAGGTGCAGCGGAAATGTGCAGGTAGTGTAGATGTGTGGGAGGAGAGGATGTGAAGAGAGACGCTATGTAGAGAGATTCCATGTGAGCCCAGATCCATCCAGCCCAAATCTTAAGTTTGTGCAGGTCTGCTGTAACTAAAAGATTGATTTGGCATTTAAAGTCAACATGAAATAAAAAAATGGGCCTATTTACTCTCTTAAAGAACCTTTTATTTAATGGAAAGATTCTATGGATGATAAAGGTTCTTCATGGAACCACTAATGCTAATTAAAGAACCTATATTTTTAAGAGTGGGGATGAGTTCATTTTGGGTGAATTATCAATATTTAATATGTGATCCTGGTTTGATTGTGAACAATTCATTGGTGCATGTTATTCCAAAGAAAGCCATTTATTTTTGTAATCTTTGATCAGAATGCAACAACTTGCTTCTCCTCTGTAACGACTTTCTATTTCCACTGACGTCAGGTTGGCTAATGATAACCAATAGCCAAATAGCTATTTAAGTAATGTTTTATCAAACCTGCATTTGGTCCGCCCACTTTTCAAAATCCAATCAATTCCCAATGGATAAAATCAAATCTTGTCTTTAAACATCCCTCACTCACAAATGCATCAAAATTATAATGCAGTGAAATGGGTTGCAAATGGCTGTTTATGTTGATTATAATGACTAATGGCCTTGTGTGGCCAGTCTATCAAAGGTAACAGTGCTGTTTGGTTTGGAGGAGAATTGGGGAATGACATATTGGCATCGCTCCCACATCTCCTACAGGCAGAAAAAAACAGAAATAGTTTCAAAAAGATATTGAGAAGACATGCCACATACTATTTAATATGCATTCGACTTCTCCAGCGAGCTGAAGGGAAAAAATAATGTGCAAAGTATATAATCTGTCTGCTGGGTATAATTAGGCAAACATGATTTAAAACGGTGAACTCACGGATTTGAACTTTTCAATGTGTGGGAGGAGTATGGTAGCTTCAGGCTAAGTTTACTTGAGACACAGTATTATTTTGCATGCAAATAATCTTGCTTGAGCCGATAACTAAACGTTTTTCCATCTCTCTCTCTTTCTTTGCATCCTCAGGCTCTTTTTTCCCAGCTCTGAAGCCCTCTGAGATGGTGTTCAAAGTAATCTTCTGGTTGGGCTACTTCAACAGTTGCATTAACCCCATAATTTACGCCTGCTCGAGCAAGGAATTCCAGCGTGCCTTCACCCGTTTGGTGCGCTGCCAGTGTCAGCGCCGCCGCCGCATCCTGCGTCGGTTCTACGACCAGCGCTGGAGAACAGCCATGCGAGGAGCCCGGAGGGGCCCACACAGAGACTACTGCTCTGGATTTCCCTTTCACGAGGAGTGCGGTAACTCTATCTATTCCTGCCAGAGCAAGAGCCGGCCTCTTAGTCTGAAGAGCTGGAGCTTCTTCCCCCCTTTACAGAACTCTTCCTTCCAGCTGAAGGAGAAAATGAACAATCTTTCCAATAAGATTAAGAACGGGACGGGGAAGAGTAGCACGTCTGCTCTGGCCCGGACAGAGATTGACACGGTCTCCATGGGGATCTATAATGACTGCGTCGATCAGAGCGGCTACCAGATCTACGACCTCACAGAGTGCTACGGCCTGAAGGAAACAGACATCTAAACAAAGACGGAGATTACTGACTGTTCTCTCTTAGAGCTCTGACCCATTGCCAGTTCTTAAAAATTGTTTGATTTTATTCCTCAAAGACTAGTATTCTTGTTATGTCTTAAAGTGCTAGTTTCAACACAGTTGAGAAGCAAATATGAGGAAAAATGTCAAGGACAATGTGTGTTAAAGGAGATTAATGTATTTTTACATGGATAATTTAAACATATTTCTTTAAAAGTGGGAAAAGTACACTGAATGGAAAAATTATGAGGGAAAAGATATTTATCTGCACTGGATCAGAACGAAAAGACTCATAGCTGCTGGGTATCTGTATACCGTGCTGTCCATGTGACCTTTGAGAAATTATCTGTCTGATGTTTCAAACTCCATCAACCGTTTCAGCTGTATTCACAAAGAGAGATTGTTACAATTTCTTTGACTTGTTGTCCATTAAGTGTGAATGGAAAACATATTTGACCGATATACTCGAGAGAGACTGGTGAATCCATGACTGTGATTTGCAGGTTGCTGTGTAATTCACTTTTAAATGATTCAAAATTGATTCAGAGGTACATACCTTTAAATGTGAGGCACAGTTTATAACCTAAACAGATTTTGTGCAGATGTTTTCAGTATTACAGAGGGTAGTTCAATACTGTGCTATTCATGTGCTATTCATGCTATTCTCATTTCAACCATGAGATTTAAGTCATCCCTAAAAGGACCAACAGTGAAAAAAAAAATCAAAATTGATGGACTCCAACTCAGCTTTTGTGTTGTTGAGAAAAGCTTTGGATTTCTTTGTAATGCTGGTGTGATAATGTCTTTCAGTGTCAACTATTAAACATAATAAATCTTAAAAGAGCATGCAGTTGATCAAATATGTGCATTTGTTGAATCCTGAAAACAATGAATCCATTGTAGCCATGATTACATTGAAATCAAATACCTATCTTATCAGACTTTTCTTCTGAGAAATACTTAAAGCACACCTAAATGAAATTCAGTCATCATTTACTCACCCTCATGTCGTTCTAAACTCATAAGACTTAGTTGGGACTTGGTTAGTCTTCGAACCCAATTTAAGATATTATCCCTCCATTCAAGTCTAGGTAACCAAAATTTTCTTTGTAATGCTGATGTGATCATGTCTTTCAGTGTCAACTATTAAACATAATAAAGCTTAAAAGAGCATGCAGTTGATCAAATATGTGTATTTGTTGAATCCTGAAAACAATTAATCCATTTTATTCAAACAGCCATCCCATAGGAAAGAAAAATCAGATTAGATCCCTTAAATTATGTAATTTGTAGCCATGATTACATTGAAATCAAACACCTATCTTATCAGACTTTTCTTCTGAGAAATACTTAAAGCACACCCAAATGAAATTCAGTCATCATTTACTCACCCTCATGTTGTTCTAAACTCGTAAGACTCAGTTGGGACTTGGTTAGTCTTCGAACACAATTTAAGATATTTTCCCTCCATTCAAGTCTAGGTAACCAAAATTAGAATATCCAAAATGGTTATAAAGATGTCATTGAACAAATTCAAATTAATTAAGCAGTTTGATCCAAGTTTTGTGCAGAGATACAATGGCTATATCTCATGATAACTCGTATGTTTTTTACGTAAAATGAGGTTCCATAAAACATACATTTACTTACGTTTTTACTGGCACTAATGCATACAATACTGATGCATTTTCAGCATCTAAATGTAAAAATACTTTTAAATGTACAAAACTGACGTATTGACGACACCTAAAACTGAATCCTTATGAATAATGAAATTGCGTTATTAATTTTGTTAGCGTTAGTTGTTTTTAGTTGTCATATCATTTACCTTGTTTTCAATTGCATTATTAAATTGTTTACTCGTTTACTTAACATGAAATGATAACATTTAGTTTTGTTGTGTGATTTCTGCTGCCAGCTCATTTCCAAGAATAGTCCTACATAATGTCAAACAAGACTTTACTTAATTAAATTAAATACTTAATTAAAAGTCTTATGGGTTTTGGAATAACATGAGGATGAGTAAATGATGATAGCATTTTCATTTTTTTGGGTGAACTATCACTTTAAGATTAGTCACTACTCACATGGGCAAATTTGTGGCTCCTTTGTACAAAAGGTCATGTTCTTTCTTCCATTCAAGATGCTCTTTGGTGGAAAATTATGAAATCATGCCAGAGAACATGATTATTAAGGCTTTACAGTAACTTGTGGAGTTCATGCATGTCTCTGAAGAGAGTTAACAGTATTACATGTTGTGCTCAGATTTGACAGGATGTGAAAAATCCACATTCATTTTATAACATTGTATTCTTACTGCACATCTCTTTCTCATCTCTTGTCTATTTTTATTTATCCAAGGAATTTTTGGAGAAACATCTGAGACAAAGTTGATACTTAACCAAAACATTAATGAGAACTCTGATGTCTCCTGAGACATGAAAAAGAAGCCTCTGCACAACTAAACAGTCAGCCTATCAACTGATTTATTGCTGCATTAATTGACTCATTAATGATGAAAAATCTAAGATGGCCAGTAGAGGTCACTGTTAATGTAAATGAATTGCAAATTCCTACAATTTTACAACAGAACTGGAAACACAATTGCAAACTTCCTGTTTGTTGCTGCCGTGTGGTTTGAGTTTGAGCTCCGTCAAGTTAATTCTTTGTCGTCTAATTTTTATCTTAAAATCAATTTTATACACCATCCTTTTTCAGTTTTATAACGTGTGAATATATCCCCTATCGTATTCTACAACAAAAACAATCAGAGCGCTTTGTTAGCACTAGTTCTATTTTTGACTTCCGAGTCCGCTATTAGCATATAGCCCGCTAGCATCACCAGCGTGGTTGCCGCTAATCTCGCTTACACTAATACTCTATTCACACACATTTCCATTGTTTTACTCACTGTTACTTGCTTTAAGCATCTAAAAGCAGTCTGAATCATCTCACATTATGTTTAATTATAAAAGTGACAAGACTGTGGGTATGAAGATGACTTGTGAGGATAGCGTACTGTACGTGCGAACAAACGTTTTTTGAAAAGTGGTTTCCTTTTCCATTTAAGATTTCTGAGAACTTACTGAAGAGTAAATCATGTGATTTAATGTGATTCCCTGTCCTCCCCTGTTTCCTGTGGATTACTGAAAACTAACACCAGCATACATAACAGTTCCTATTAATGGGTTCCTTTAGCTAAGCACTTGTATGTTTTGACTTGTCACAAAAATGACTTAACGTACATTTCACTGCCTTAGAACTCGCTGAGCAGTGCCAGAAAGGTCTAAAAAGAAGAGCACTGAAGTGAATGGTCCGAGCACAGAGTTAACAGAACATTAGCTTCATAAAATAAAACAAATAAATAAATAAACTAGCATGATACTGGATGTTTTCCTGAGACAATTTCCATTTTCAAAATTATTATATTAATAATAATTAATATAATAATTATTATATTAATAATTATAATTCATATAATAATTATTAAGCCCCAAGCTCCTTTATCTTTGCTAACCTCATTATTGAAGCAGGCAGACCAGCTGGGGCCAATCCGGCTTGTCCAGTCATTTCATAAGAACTATATCAAGAAAACGTGATTACAACTGAGATTTAATTTCCAGCTTTATAAAATGATTTGTTCTCATACATATTTTATTTATGACTCTTATGTGCTAACCTGTGACAGGGGAGGATGTGTCACACGCCTTTGGAGTGTTTCTTTCGATAGGCACTTTATGTGAAGGGTAAGTGCATTGTAACTGCACCCTCAAATAGCAAAAATGTTCCTGGTTGTTCCTCGTTCTGCTTATTATTTCATGCTGCCATAGTTTGTTGAACATACCAGAATGTTTTAGAATTCAACTGTTACATCTTGTACCACATAATGCTTATAGTTCTGCCAATATAAAAAGGTAAAGTTCTGTTTGTTACCTTGAATACACTTTGCATTAGTGTTGGCAATAGATGAAGTAGAATTAAGGATTGTGTGCTGCAAAGCGCCAAATCTGCGAAAAAATGATGAATGCAGGCCAGACATCTAATTTATTCACACAGTAAAAAAAGGTGAAAGAAAACACATCTTACAAGAAGTTCAAATCACAATGTTGGCATGCAGTTTATCATGCTGTTAGCCTGACTGAGTTATCCTCATCTTACTATGGTTTGTGTTATATCATTTATCATTATTTGGAACCCATAATGAGATTTCATAATGTGTTAATCATTTAAATCTTTTAAAGTCTTACAACAAATAATACCTATGGTCACCCATGCAGCAATAATATATTTTCAGATCTATTTTAAGTTTTAAAATATACAAAAATTGGTCTTTTGCTAATCAAGATTTTAAAATATATTTACATAAATATATTTCCAATTTTCACGTTTTAGTTACATTTCTTCATACGTTTCCCGTCGTTTCTTTAGAGTTCAGTGGAACTTGCAGCCATAGTTAGCTAACAATGCTTTTGGGAAACGTACCCCTGAGCAGGATTTGAACTGGCATTTCTGGCATGGAAGGCGAGCACATTAACAAGGACATTGAAGACTATATTTGAACTACATTTTGGCCAAAAAAACACTGTAAATGCTTTTTTATTATATTATTATATTTACGTAAATATATACTTATAAAAAATATATTTTGCCATATGGGCTGGACAGGAATGAGTTTGGGATATTTTACTAAAACAGATGAACTTCCACTACAGTCTACTGGTTGTCAGTGCGCTCATTTGGCATCTCTTTTCGAATGAGAGAGGTCTATTCCTTGAGCTGTGCCATGTAGACATATTCTGCAGCCCATGATCATGAGGAAAGCCCTACGGAAGGATCGGTTAAAGAAACCATAGAGGAAAGGGTTTAGGGAGGAGTTGACATACCCTAACCACAGGAACACGTCCCATATCACAGCAGCAGTCCCGTACTCAATGAACGGGTCGACAATATTAACAGTAAAGAAGGGCAACCAGAAGAGAAGGAAAACCCCCATGATGATGCCCAGAGTTTTGGCCGCTTTTCTTTCCCTCCTTATAGAATTGCGATGTTTTTGTTTCTTGCTCGAGTCCTTGCCCACACCTGCTGCCATCTGTGCCTCCATTGCACTTATCTGCATGGCTTGCCGCTTGGCCGCTTTGTAGATCTTCCAGTAGGCCACCAACATGGTCACCATAGGCAGGTAAAATGCAACAAGGGATGCCATGACGGCATAAACACGGTTAACCAAGAAGATGCACACATTTTCAGGCAAAGGAACATCCATTCCAAGCTTGTGCAGCCCGAGGAGGATTGGGCCAAAGGAGATGAGGAATGGAATGGCCCAGCACACCACAATCAGCAGACCCACGCATTCACGGGACATTTTAAACGAATACACCAAAGGGTTGCAGACGGCGTAATAGCGGTCAAAAGCGATGCAGCTCAAATGGAAGATGGAGGCCGTGCAGAGCATAACGTCCAAGCTCGAGTGAAGATGGCAGAAGGTTGGGCCGAAATACCAACATCCTTCCACTGTTCTGACCATACTGTATGGCATAACCACCAGGCCCACCAGGAAGTCAGCGACAGCCAGAGACATGACAAAAGAGTTAGTAGGGCACTGCAGCTGTTTGAAGTAAGCAATGGCGAGAACCACCAGGAAGTTGCCGACAACAGTGCAGGTGATCCCGGTGATGATGAAGACGTAGAGGGCAACTCGTGAAACGGAGCTCCTCAGCGTGGCACAGGGCTCAAAATCAGAGTCGAGTGAAATGTTGCTCCATTCCGAGGAGTTTTCCATGCTGTTCGACCTGGTGATAAACGAGACATATGCATTCAAGATTCATTCCCATGATCATTG